CGACTTCCATGTAAGGGGACCCGCGGTGTATGTAGATATAAATTGCTCAATCTAAGGTATTAAAAACATAACGGTTCATTAAGTAAGGTCTTTATACACCTCTGAAAACATAGTTATGTATATTATATTGCATTTCTGTCAATAGATGTGTAAATATTACACATTGCACCTTTAAAACCATTATCGGCCGATTCCGATATCAGTCTGATAATATCGTGCATCCCAGTAATGATGCTAAAAATTGAGCTTTGAAATCACAGGAATAGATTACATTTTAAAATATTTCCAAATAGAAAACAGTTATTTTAAATAGTAAAAATGTCAACGCTTACGCGTTAACGCATGCGATTAATTTTACAATCCTTAACGCGTTCAAATTATTTAACGCAATTAACGCAAAATTACGGAAGCACAATTTTCTGAAAAAAGTTTTCAGTCCAGTGATCCAGTAAGCGAATGCATTCAAACAATCCGTCCAAAACAGCGCTAATATAAAGGAAACCAGGCTGATTACATCAGAGATTGCAGAGAGAACAGAGACTCGTGTTGCATTTTCAGTGAATTATTCATTCCAGCGTGTTTGGCTTTACAGTTTTTCTCAAATGCTAAAACACATTTCACAAACGTTTCCTCCGGGGGGGGAAGAAATTATAGAAATTAATACTTTTATTTAGCAAGGATGCTTTAAATTGTTCAAAAGTGATGATAAAGACGTTTATAATGTTACAAAAGATTTCTATTTCAGAAAAATGTTGTTCTTCTGAACTTTCTATTCATCAAAGAAATCTTTAAAAATTCTACGCTGTTTTCAACATAATAAGAAATGTTTTTTGAGCAGCAAATCAGAATATTGGAATGATTTCTGAAGGATCATGTGACTGGAGTAATGATGCTAAAAATTGAGCTTTGAAATCACAGGAATAGATTACATTTTAAAATATTTCCAAATAGAAAACAGTTATTTTAAATAGTAAAAATGTCAACGCTTACGCGTTAACGCATGCGATTAATTTTACAATCCTTAACGCGTTCAAAAGGAAACCAGGCTGATTACATCAGAGATTGCAGAGAGAACAGAGACTCGTGTTGCATTTTCAGTGAATTATTCATTCCAGCGTGTTTGGCTTTAAAACACGAGCTCTGTCAGCTGAACTCTCCTCCTGTCCACATTCAATTCTCACGGATCGACCGCGAACATGCGATCATACAGGATACAAATGCACACTTCACAAGATCTCACAACTGGAAGTTTGCAAGGTTTTTGAAATTAGATATTTATTAGACATTCAAAGATTTGTTTAAATGATATAAATGCGTATTTGCTGAATGCTGACGGCAAACAAGAAAGTATTACAATGTTTGCCTTTCTATTACTAATAATATAAAAGCAATCGTTATAATACTTTTTGTATACATTTTAATTCCTTTGTTTAACTGTTCTATCTGTCGGTTTTCGGATCACCAGTACACTGAACCGAGAACCGTTTCTTTCGGACACGTCCGATTTGAGAACCGATGAGCTGATGCTACTGCGCATGCGTGATTCAGCGTGAAGCTACCGAACAGATTGCCTACTATGACTGACACAGCACGTCTGAACCGAACTGGTTCTTTTGGACAACTGATTCTGTGCTAATGTTATGAGCGCGGGTAAAACGAAGACTTGAATGAAGGGCAATCTGGCGAAACGTAAGTTTATCTAATAACAAATAAATCGCAATGGATTATGTATAGTAAGTGGATTATGGTTTCTGCGCTGATGACAACTAATTTATTTACTTTAAATCTTCAAGACTTAAATCCTAGTATGCACATCACTGCCTGTTACTGTATTTGGGTGCTTAGTTGCAAAACTTAATTGTAAACTTTTCAGATCATGATGTAAGTTATGTAACTGACTGAAGTTATGATTACTGACTTTATATATTTGAATGTGTATTTTCATCCCGGCCCGGGACGATAGACTTGATATCATTACGTCATCGCGAATGACGTCATTACGTTAGGGCGTAAAAGAACCGATGAACCGTTTTTTTGAACCGGTTCATTGAAACGAACTGTCCGAAAGAACCGGTTCGCAGAAAAGAACCGGACTTCCCATCACTAGTGCTCAGGCGCTGCCGTTCTCAGCGCCGTCAAAATAAAAATGTCGCGCCGTCAAAATAAAAGACGCATCGGCCAAACAGGAAAACTTATCGGCCAATGCCGATATTTTAAAAAATGCCAAATATCGGCCGATATATCGGCCTTGGCGATATATCTGTCGACCACTAGTTTGAAGTTAAAGATATTAATAATTAGGTGAGTCTGAGATGTTTATTTGACAGTGATTTCACATTTCTTGCTTGTATGAAGGCTAAATATAAATAAAAGGTGAACATTAATTTATTTGTGCTGTTTTTTTTCTAAAAAATTAAATAGTTGAGGGTTCATAGACTTGGCAAATTCATTTTTCATAAGTTTGCAGACATCTGGGTGTTCTTGGCAGTTTTTATGAGGCTTTTTTTAATAGTGTTCATATCGATATCGGAATTATATCATATCGCCCGAAATTAAGAAATATATTGTGATATAAATTTTAGCCATATCGTCCAGCCCTACTCTGGAGGTAAAGATCTTGGAGGTTGGGCAGGGGGGAACCAGTAATCCTCTCAGCAGTCCTGACTGTCCGTTGTAGTCTCTTGATGTCTGATTTGGTAGCTGAACCAAACCAAACAGTTATAGATGAACACAGGACAGACTCAATGACAGCTGAGTAGAACAGTTTCAGCAGCTCCTGTGGCAGGTTGAATTTCCTCAGTTGGCGAAGGACAACCTCTGCTGGGCCTTTTTTTACAATAGAGTCAATGTGAGTGTCCCACTTCAGGTCCTGAGAGATGGTGGTGCCCAGGAACTTGAATGAATCTACTGCAGGCACAGTGCTGTTCATGATGGTGAGTGGGGGTAGTGCAGGGGGTTCCTCCTGAAGTCCACTATCATCTCCACTGTTTTGAGCGTGTTCAGCTCCAGGTTGTTGTGACTGCACCAGCCAGCCAGCCAGCTCTTTAACCTCCTGTCTGTAAGCAGACTCGTTTCCGTTGTGTGTGAGGCCGATGGTAGTGTCATGTGCATATTTCAGGAACACAGGGAAGAGTTGCATATTATATGCACCAATATAACAATATGCAGAAAAAAATGTACCTGCAGATATTTTCTTGCAAAAATGTTTTAATATATGATTAAATAGAGACAGTAGCTATGTTTCCATCCAAAGATGCGAATTTAACTTATGCGCAAAACTGGAATATCGCATATAACATTTGCGAATAAAGCACTGTTTCCATCCAACGAGTCAAAGAGAACAAAATGGTCACTTCCTGATAAACTGGCACTAAATATCTCTAAGAAAACTAGGAGAAGCCACTGAATATAATAATTTCCATATGTAATGTAATTATACAGAAATACTTTGATGACAGACTTTGCTCAGGCATTTCAGAACGACCAAAACAACATATAGATGCTGTGAACGAGTTAGTCAATCCACTGGTTAGTCAATTTATCCCGTCTCATAGCGCAAAGTCACATAACTTTTTCGATGCGCATGGTGGAATTTATTCGGTAAATGTGTTTCCATCGTAGTTTATGTGCATTTTTTCTTATGGGATAAAAAGTTTATCCTACTCAGTTAACTAGTTAAAGACCTTGGTTGGGAAATAATTATAATAATAAATAGAATAAATTCTAAAAATGCGCATAAAATACTTATGTGCATTTTTAGAATTTATGCGCATCTTGCCGTTTCCATCCAGCGTTTTTTTATGCGATAATCCAAAATGCGCATAAAAATAGGTGGATGGAAACATAGCTAATGTTGACACAAGCAAATTATTTCCCAACCAAGGTCTTTAACTAGTTAAAGATTTGGTGATGAATAGAACCACTGTGCTAGTCCACTAGCTAGACCAGCACCCAACCTAGCATGGAAATTCAATTGATCTTTTCAGTATGCCATTCTCTTAGCTTCTGTCGCCATCTGTCTTGCAGGTCGTCACGCAGAGGACATCTTTGGAGAGCTGTTTAATGAAGCCAACCGTTTCTACATGCGTATGAATAACCTGCAAGAGAGAGTGGACCTGCTGGCTATCAAAGTGACCCAGCTGGACTCCACCGTGGAAGAGGGTAACATCAAGCGTTAAGCTTAATCTCTGCATCATCTCCAGATCTTATCAAGCTTTCAGCTGTAGCAGCTAGCAGCTGGAGAGAGGCTGAGAGAGAGCGCGTTTGCCTTCGAGTGCTGTCCTCTATAATGGTCTTCTTTTAGCCTGTAGTTAGAGGGATGACCCAGCTTTCTCTGCCATGAAAGGGAGAGACGTCAAACTGTATCACTTTACTCCTCCCTCTACTCCTCTCATCTCTTTCTTTTGTTCTTCTCTCTGGAATAGAAAAATCCAGTGTCTGGTCTGGTGGCACCGTCTCTTGTCTCAATAAATGAAACAGATAGCAGAGCTCAGCACGACTCTGATGTTAGGCTATGTATTTGACGGACATATGAAAAGAGATTTTTATCTTTAAACGCCCTGTTCTTGTGCAAAATAAAGATTAGGGCCACATTACATGTTCTAACGATGTCCTCGTCTATTTAAAACAATCAGCCCATCTGTGATCGATAACTGGAGAGCCAATGAGGAGGGTTTAATATGTTCCAGCTCCCCTGTGACCCCTCACTAACGGAGAAGAAACATCGACGTTTCTTTTAAAGTCTGAGTGTTCCATTATCACCTGATTCACAGTGAGCGATGACCTGATTCACAGAGAGTGTGTGTGTGTGTTTATAGCACTCTAATGTCTGTCTCAGGTCTGTCTGACCTGATGGTGATCTGGGGTTTATGTGTGCTGCATGTAGAATGGAGGGTTGGGAAGGAGATGGGCAGTGGGAGGAGGAGAAGAAGAATGAGATCTCTGAGGTCTCTGAATATCGAGACATCTCTCAGAGAGGAAGAGACAGAATATTGTGTGTGTTACCAGAAAGGGTGATGGGGTTTGCTGGCATTCATGGTTGTGTCTGATCCAAAAATGTCACCCCGTCCCCCACTTGACGTCCATTCTAATTATTAATTTATAACCAGCCATCCAGACTTAAAACTGAGCTTCTTTTGCACTCGAACAGACTGTACACAAAGACAAAAGAGATATTTAGAGATACAAAAAAGAGAGAACAAAATAAATAAATGAGGAAGAAAACTGAAACTAATAAAATGAGACATGTAGTCAGTGTGTGATTTGTAGAGCTGTATATTAGAGAGCAGTGCCTCATTAGATAATAATATGTGTTAGAACCAGGGTTATTATAGTTAACTAAAACTAAGAGTAAAATTACAACAACAACAAAAATTACAATAAATAATAAGCGTTAACAGAAATAAAATATTTTAAAAATATTTTTTTTCAGCTAGTAGCCAAAACAACATTTCTTATTGTCATTACGTTTAACAATGTAATAAAATAACTAAAATTAAAATAAGTAAATCTATATAATAATAATAATAATAATAAAAATGACAAAACATGAAACAAAATTACTAAAACATTAACTTAAACCTTTAAGATTAAAATGAAAACAGAAAATTTCAAACTATTAATATTATAAAATATTAATAAAAACTATAATAGTATCTCAGTGATACTAAAATAACACTGCTTAGTTCAGACGTTTTTTTTAATCAATAACATTCTGATTACAGGTGAATCTAACAGGAATCACTTCTAAATGAAAACGACAACCATTTTAAAGGGGTCATATGATGTTGCTAAAAATAACATTATTTTGTGTATTTGGTGTAATGAAATGTGTTTATGCGGTTTAAGGTTAAAAAAACACATTATTTTCCACATACTGTACATTATTGTTTCTCCTCTATGCCCCGCCTTTCTGAAACGCGTCGATTTTTACAAAGCTCATCGGCCTGAAAA